TAACATTTAAATTGAAAATTATATTATATATTGTATATATAATTAACTACGTACTGTTAGCAAGAAGAAATAAATATAATAAATAATCTTACACGAACGTGGTATAGTCGCGAGGAAACGAGTGTCACGAGTGTTCTAAGGCGGTAAGTTCGCGACCATGAACTTCCGGCCGACACGGTAGGCATCCTTGATCATGGTCCTCGATTCGTCTTTGATGGCCGGTAGTTTGAATGAAAAGTGAAAAGCGGATGTCGTGGGAGTAGCGGAAAGACGCCGCTGACATACATATTTGCATCGGAGAAAGTCATCTCTCTCTCTCTCTCTCTCTCTCTCTCTCTTTACCCCTTCTCTTTTATCACGGTTGCCTCGTAGCTGCGTGTATATAATCGATGCATTAACACCTTGCATAACTCCGGCTCGCGGTATTAATCATCCCATTATGCGACCGTGTCTCGTGGAAATGGGATTTACCGCGTCACGGCCGACGCTTTTTCACGCTCGCATTCGCAGAAAATCTAACGATAGGAATCGAGACGTTAGTAATAGAATATAACGATTAAGTTGAACTGCTTACGTCCGAGATTAAGTTATCTACAACATTTTTATTAAATCATCGTTAGATGATTTCTCTCATATTTTTTTTATGATTCTTGGGTTGAGTTTTCTATTTCAGTCTTTCGAATTATCGTTGGTTCTCGCATGCTAGATTACTTTTGGCTAGATTATATTATTATTTTTCTATATATTTTTACATATTATCATTTTATTTTATTTCTTTTATTATGCCACGTGGTGAAAATTTTAACATCCTGATGAAACTTTCAATAGTGAGTTTTACATTTCGTTATTAAAACGAAAGGACTTCGGTTGCATTAATATTTCGTTATTCATGAAAGTATAGATTGGACGATATGGTCAGCGTTTTATGCTTTTTCAAATTCCATGCGAGCAACGAGTCGTTTCGTTCTATTCACGATTCCGCGCTTTTACATTTTTCGAATCTTCGAATCTTTTGTAATGCAATGGCACGCGATTCTTATAACTGTATTTATGCAAGTTTATATTTTTACTAAAAAAACAGATGGAAAGATTTTGACATTTCTCTGTAATGTCACAACTTGTACGCCTCGATTTCCTATAATTACTTTTACAATTTTTATTTTAATTCACGTAAGCAATTTAACATCAGTGATAAAGAACACACGTAAGAATGTACGACAAAATATTAATTAAATGTTAAATTCAAAATTCCACATTCCTTTGGATTCTAGACAGAAATTTTTTGCATCTATTGAATACTGTAATAAGTACTCTATTTTAAATGTGTTATATATATTTCGTAGACTTCTGAAGCCTTAAATTCCTCAAAATTTACGCACAACAAAATAAAATTACATTACCACAAGTATAAACTTTTCAAGTCGAGTCTCTTCAAGCAAATGATCTAGTTCTAAATAACAAGAATTTATACAATTAATCAATTTGGGTAATATATATATATA